TCAGACCACATTGAAGATTTTGTTTGCGTTGGCGAAGCTAATGGGGGGTTTGAACCCCCTGAACTCTCCCCCCCCCTTTTTATCTCTCTCTCTCTTCAAAATTCCTGGATCCGCCCATGCTTATATCATACACATAGGCTGCCAAAGACCTATTGTAAAACTGAATCAACCCTGGTCAGTAGTTCCGCATTATCCCAGTTACAGCACAGCAGCCTCAATCCTGACTGAGAACAAAACGTTTGAGTCTACTAATAATATTATTTGAAAATCAATAAGTTTGTATCAATACATCTTGATAGCATACACGCATAAATACACTGAAGCATGATATATGACAACATCCCACTTTTAAAGGGTGTACTTGGTGTTGTCACAACTCAGTTGAGGAAACACTTCAGGTTAAATTCTACTTCTGACTAAGGCTGTAACGATTCACTCGCATATTCGGTGAATCGAACCGTAGCCTTTCATGAATTCAATTCGTTATTCGTGGTCACCAGAACCGAATATTAACGAATATTTACGATTTTTTTTAAGGGAGCATGTTTTACTTGAACCCTTGTGTACTTTGGAAAGTGAGATATGCAAGAATTCAATATGTACTAGTCTTGTGTAGCACAATTCATGTTAGTTTGCCAAGACTGCACATGGTACTGTCGATTATAACTATTACATACCAAATTTGAGTGTCATGAGATCACTGGTTATTGCTGTGACAAATCAAAACTGTCAACATGGGCATTCCATATTGTATATCAATCACTTAAGTACAATATTGTATTCGTGAATACATAATCGTATTCGTTACCCACTATTCATGATACGTATCATATTCGCCACATAGTGTATTCGTTGCAGCCCTACTTCTGACACACCAAAATTAGTCAACAAACCAGAAATAAATGTCATTAAAGCTGAATCACTGGTATTAGTGTACTTCTTACCCCTAGCCCTCACTGTACATAAACTGTACATAGCAAATGATTATTTAAATGAATGTCTTGTTACAGTCTGTCTGACAAATACCTGCCAAGCCTCTCTCATAACATAACTGAATCTAAATTAACATAGTTCAAATTCATTTTATTAAAACATCTTTAAATACAATCAAACCATTGTTTGCAACAATTAACCAAGTTTACAGAGTGGCCTAACTTATTTGTTCAGTGATCTCCACGGTTGCCATGTGTTGTGTTAACCTAGCTCTATCAGTGTACAGAGGGTACAGTATTTACCTGACCATATATTTTATCAATACCTCACAAATGAGGTGCCTCATCAGCAACCACTCCTGCAGTAACAGGTGGACTCCTACTAGAGTGTGGGAACATAAAACAGCCCTGAATGCACTGCAGTCTGGTGAGTAATTTGATAGTCAATGTATGGAATGAGTGTTTGACAAATGGTTACAACTCTTTAACAGAGTTAAAAGTTGAGGTCTGGGGCCCTGTCTCAAAAAGTGAACGAGCATTATCAGTATTAACTAAACAAGTGGCACAGCACTAAAACTGCCTTTAAAAAGGGACTGTTGCCATTTTACAATAATCATAAATAAATGTGAAAAAACATTTCCATGATCATATGAAATCTCTACTAACAGCAAAATCCACTGAACAATCTCCAACGTTTACACATGCATGTGTTTATGGATCCCTATCAAGAGTGATGATAAAGATGCTTGAGGAAAGGTCAGTGTATCCTGCCCCGCTGGTGGTGCCCATCACAAACACTTGCATAGGCAAGTCAATTAGTCTGAAAAGAATTGTTGTGAAATATGTTTCTGTCAACTCATGATAGCCAACATCAAAAGTTATCAAAAATGTTGCAAACAAACAGGTTTGGGTCTGTAGACACACAAAGTGTACTTTGTATAATAACCTGCGTCAATCTTGGATTTTGAACCATGATCAGTGGGCATCTTAGACCTCTGTATCTGAATATATCTTGGTGATCAATGTAAAAATGTTTACACTGCCCCATTATGAAAAATGTTAACACTGCCCCATTATGTGACTCCAGGTTTACACTTACAATCAATTGCTTTCCTTGTTAATTTGTTGTTCAGCCAATATTATTACCGGGTCCTTTTTATGTTTACCATGCTTTGGAGGTGTGTCGGCAAGGTCTGGCACATGTGACTCTGCATGCTGATGTTGTGTTATGATGCTGAATGGCACCATTACTGACCCTGCACCATTACCTTCGGAATTGGTCCATTGTCAAGTATGAATGAGTGAGTTGGGTGAGAAACCCATCTGAACAGCATTTCAGTCAAATAACTGAATCAGTTTAATTTGAGGCAAAACATGTTTTAAGTGACAGTACCATCACCAAGAATCCCACAAATGACAACAATTATTAATGCTGAATCTGGGAATCCAGTGAGGGAGTAAGTTCAGATAAACACAGTATCAAACAGTATTTTAATCTGTCATGGCATGTAGGCATGGTGTGGGCAGAAAGCCCAAAGTGATGCCAGTCTCAGTCTGACCTGACCTCTGGAAAACATCAAGTGAGACATACTTCCTTCTGTTTAAAAAGTATTTCATAAATACTACTCAATTAAAGTTAAAGACCACCCTATGATAGAACAAATTAACTATAGCGGTGGTGGATAAGAGATGTTTTCCAACTTCTATTGAATAGCACGTTTTTGCAAGACAGGAAATGGTGCAAACAAACCAAGATCATAACTAAGACATATCTGGGATTCAAACCAACTTTCAGCGGATCCTGGCACAACCACATGAAATACATCTCTGCACAGAGGTCTGGATCATGTAGGACCCCTTGGCCAATTGTGCCCCATCATGGACTTTCACTTCAGTCCAGCAATTCTATCACCTATCAACATTCAGAAATATACAGAAAAGCCAATGGCCATCACTTGATTCAAATGCTGTTGGAGTAACGACCCCTCTTCAGTTCAAATCCTGCCATGAACAATATCAATTATGGCCATGGGTAAAGCACCAAATGAAGTGAGTGAATGAGTGAGTTGGGTTTTACGCCGCTTTTAGCAATATTCCAGCAATATCATCACGGCAGGGAACACCAGAAATGGGCTTCACGCATTGTGGCCATGTGGGGAATCGAACCCAGGTCTTCGGTGTGACGAGCGAACGTCTTAACCACTAGGCTACCCCACCGCCCTAAAGCACCAAGAGTCTCAGAAATCTAAACAAGACTTTCCAAAGCGTACAGACATTCCGCCCTTTAAAAGTCACACTAGTCGCCTATCAATGACTCCTAATTGTGCTGAGGACATGTACAAATTGAAATGGTCATCATTAATTAGCAGCATCTAAAGATTATCATTCGGAGCAATGCTTCAACTTTGCTACAACTTCAACAGAATACTGTTGACAGAAAATGCTAAAATCGAAAACAGCTATGTCCTTTTCAAGCAAGACCAGCTACAAACCCTAATGACAAGAGGAATAAAGTCTCCATCTGGACTAATTTAAAAGCCTGCATTTCGTTCACAGCATCTTACCTTATTCTCAGTGTCAGTCGGAGAGGATAATTCCTGCACATACAAGCTCAATACCAGCTCTAATAACCAAGATACAACTGATGTTGTTAGGGGTCAGTATCATCCACACTGAGGGTTGTGTGATGGTATATACTCATCAGTAAACCATCACAGCAGTATGGGCACAGATATCTTGTGTCTTCACATGTGCTTGTTTTCACATACCGACCCACACTGTGCTGTTTGTTTTGGTTAGTGGATTACTAAGTATTTGTTGATCTGACCAGCTTCTTGGTACAGACAGGGAATCAATTAGCAACAATGAGGTCATGTGGGGACAACATGGATGGGAGGCCATGGTTTCATGTTCTTGAGGAAGGACTGATACATGGATGGTGAGGTTTTATGTTCAGTAGTGAGGAAGTTCATAATTGATGATAGGAACCATTTATGAAATTTGTTAAAGCACAAACAAATAAGGAAAAACATAGTTATTTTGGGGGTTTTTGGCAAAAGTTCACATCTTTAAAGGATGATTAGTATGCTAGGAACATAAATTTCTTGGTGTCTTTAAGATAAATTCAATGATGACTTGGAACGAGCTTGTAGTGCTTATGAAATGTAACAGACAAAACCAACCTTGTGAAAAATATTGTTGATAAAAACAAGTGTTCCAGAATTGTTTTGTGTTCGATTATGAGAAAACATGATCGATTGCTTGGTCGTTTAAGTCACTGCGACCAATCTTCGATTATTTCAATTAATCGGACCACCACTAGATTACAGACAACTTCGTTGGGTGGCATTTAGAAGTTGGTGTGATGAACAACTGGGAGAGTTCTATGGATTTATAACTTCTTTGTTACTAATATGAGCAATGTCTCAGTGTAGCTACTAACACCATTATCAAGCAAGAGTTTGTTGTTGATTATGAATTGACTTTAGTCTGTGGCAAAAGCTTCAGACTCTACTAGTCTATATGTAGCCTTTGTCATCTTTCAAGATGATTCTGATTGAAGTTTTATTATTTTAACTCAGCAACTTTCAAAGAGGATTCAAAGACTTTGACATTCAAAAGACCATCTTTTATGCTATGTGAAAGCCCAAAGTGACTGAGCCAAATTTGAATTGCAAAATCAGTCATCCATGTATATGCAGCTGAGTATGAGAAATTCTGTGCAGAGTCAGGAAGAGAAGTGACATCACATTCAGTAAGAGCTTACAGTGATAAATGTCACAGTTTATATAATACACCAATAATCCAGGAAAATGACTACAAGGTGATGAACAAAGAAGCTCACTACGGCATGTCTGCCCCTTTAACTCGGAAGTCTACGACCTAACATGTCTGACTCACATCCCATCAGGGTGCCTGACAGTATTCAGAATCCATCTTGATTTGAAATCATCCGTTGAAGGTGGAACTGATTTATGGGGACATTAGGTTTTAGAGGATTGGTGGAAAATACCTGCTGTGAAAAAAATGAATATAAAATCTGAAATATATCTGAAGAAAAACACTGACCTCTTCGGAGTTGTTGGTGCAGAATGCATGGCAGTATTGTATGTTGATCTGTCCTTTAGGTTCTCGAGCAAGGAAAGAAAACTGGCAGTAGTCTGGGTCACAAGTTGCGTATGATATCCGTTTTAACGCATGTGCCATATACACACTCTGCAACAAAACAAACAGTATTAGACAGGTGAAGAGCGAGCTAGTTGCCCATATAAATATGTAGCGGCCATAAAATGTCCGAGTCCCGTGCTGGGATTCGAACCACGGACCTTCTGATCCGAAGTCGGACGCCTTGTCCACATGATCAAAGAGGTTACCTTGTCAGCAAGCATCTATGGGATGACACCCTGCCCTGCTACAAATACCTGTACTGTCTGGACCAGATAAGCCAGTGGTTGACATTGCAAGCCATGTTCTACATCATCATCCACAATGGTACACAATAGACCAAGTCACAGATTCTGACTACCAGGGTAAACATAGTCCCCCATATAAATACATAATTGTCAGGACCTATAAAACCAGTGATTGACATTGTGAGCAATGTTACGGGTCATTGGGTTGATGACACATTGAACCAAGTCAGACTCTGGGAACCCAATTAATGTTAATCACCTTTATACAAACAAGTCAGGTCTCTTATTCTCGAAGCGTTCGTAGCCCTACGAACTTCTTAAGCCCATTCTTAACACATTAGCTACGATCAAAGTTAAGAATTCTTAGGCCTACTGAACGTTTCGGGAATAAGGAACCTGGAGAACTAGTGGTTGATGTCATGAAGAACATTCCACACCACTGGGAAAACATGTTAAACAAAATCACCAATTCTCACTGAAAACTGATGTCTTTTCTTTTCAAGAATTCTTTGGTCTCTATGATATATCCAACTATCCCACCACAAACAACACAACTTACTGGGTTTCCTAGCAATCCTTCTGCTGCTTGAGCAAACTTGACTGCTGATGTGATCAAATTTAGATTTACTACAGGGAATAATCAAAACATTTATTACATACTGAAATAGATTTACAGAAATGAGCACTATTTCATTTTTAATATCCATGACATGAAAGGATTTTTTGACAGTTTGATTTTTTTTTTAACTCTGCAATAACAAGATTTAATGGTCACTGGATCACAGCCTAGTGGCAGTGGTGAATCTCATTATAAACATGACTGCAACCAGGCAACGGTAATGCAACCATCCAATGGTAATCCTACATGGGGACTAAGACTGTACAGCACAGCTCTCTGATTGGCCACTCAAAATATACCCATAACCACCATGGTCAGAACCAATCTTTGAGGGAGTCAAGTTTTATGCTGCTTTTAGCAATATTCCAGAAATATTATGGTGGGGACACCAGAAAGAGGCTTCACACATTGTATCAATGTGGGGAATCAAACCTGGGTCTTCAGCGTGATGATTGAATGCTTTAACCACTATGCTATCTCACCACCCAACCAATCTATGAAAGTCAGTGGGTTCTGAGTTCCTTGAGGTATTTCACTCTAGCAACCCCTAGACCTTTATTTTAGGGGCGGCAGGGTAGCCTAGTGGTTAAAGCGTTTGTTCGCTCGTCACGCCGAAGACCTGGGTTTGATTCCCCACATGGGTACAATGTGTGAAGCCCATTTCTGGTGTCCCCCGCCGTGATATTGCTGGAATATTGCTAAAAGCAGCGTAAAACTAAACTCACTCACTAAACCTTTATCCTTTAACATTAGGACTATGACAAGGGGGTTTCCTTCATTTCCAACACGGTATAACCATTCGTACCCCCTGCTTCCTCATGCTATAACTCAGGTTAAAGCATCAACACCTCGGTCCCACTGTCAAACCACCTGTTGACCCACTTGCCCAATAACCAAGACCCAGAATGAAATTTACATTTTCTCATTTCCACACCCTTCCAAAGTTTCACAGCTACACAGAGCCACAAACAGCTGAGAGACACACAAATCCAGCAATTTTTATGGATTAATGAGCCATTCTAGAAAAAATTATTCACCTGTACATAATTTCATCCCCTGGGGCTGTGATAGCATCTGCTGAGTGACAAGCCCTATCTAGATAACACCTTATATGGTTGTTGATTGATCCTATGGGGACACTGCTGTCTCCTTTATTGTGGGAGACCGTTTTGAGTGTTCATACATTTTCTACTGGAAATCTCATCATAATCTCCAAGATCTTTCCTCAGATAGGGTTTGATCAGAATGACATTATACTTTTGTCTTGTCCCGCATGACCTACTTTGTGCAGTGATATAAAGCTAACAACTTTTATGTTCATTAAGGCCTTAAACCTTTCAGGGTCCTATCGCCTTTCCTTTGAAGAGCTTCTCTGTTTATCAACTCAGTCAGTCCTAACATGAATGTTTCCTTCACTAAGGCTTACTTCAGGCTTCATGAAAACTCTAGACATCACAGACATGTTCCTTATCATGTCTTTCAGTGGCATTTAGAAGTTGTACATTGATGTCCAAGATATTTTTATGGATTAAACTTCTTTTTTAATTTCTCTCATGACGTTTCGAGACCATTCCAGATAAAGGGTCCTGGAATGGTATGAAACGTCGTGAGAGAAATTAAAAAAGAAGTTTAATCCATAAGTCCTGGAATGGTCTCGAAACGTCGTGAGAGAAATTAAAAAAGAAGTTTAATCCAAAAAAATATCTTGGATTTTCCTTATCATCTTGCATGGAAATTACCATGTTGTCAGGCAACTTTACTCATGTCTAGTCTCTGAATGAACACATTTTACAGAAAAAAAAAAGTTCCTAAATAATAATCATAAAATATAATGAAAAGAAGCCCAGAGACTTTCTTCACTTTCCAGAAACTGTGGACATCTAGACTTGCTACATATTCTAGACTTGCATGGGCTTTCTTGGATATATTTGTTTCAAGGTCTGTATGACAGTCAAGTAGGTGACCTGCCTGTCTGTATAAACTCCCCTTCTTCGGAATTTATAAATGGAGTTTGGCTTCTAATACCACAAGTTCATTGCCATCATGTACAATCAGTTTATGGAAGAAAAACACGAATACTGTTTCATATTCTTGAATCACCCAAATCATCTGTTTTGCAAGTTTCATCAAGAAATATTTAAAGATTGCAAAATTCTGCTCCAGAAATGAGCACAAACTTAAATTTCAACAGAAGTCCAACTTATCATAATAAACATAAAATTTAAATAGCCAAGATCATCAAAAGGCACCATTTAGCCATTAGACTGATCTATGTCACCGATTTCAACAAGAAATATTCAACCATTTTGGAGTTCAGCTACAGAAACAGAAAACAGACAGTTGATCATTATATCCACATTTCTGAACTGAGAAGATAATAATGTCACATAAATAAGGGATGGTTAAAAACTTTGTCACATCTTTATAGGAAGAGTCCATACTCACATAATGATCATATATACCTTACTGTGTCTCATTTGAAGCACTCAAAACCCATATCCATTCTTTGAAACCCGAAATACTGCTTGTGTTTACTGGAGCTAAAAAAACAGTAATTTTTGCCAAACATTCAACTTTATCTGGCAGTTTGTATGCTATTTCATGAGTGAGTAAGTTGGTTTTGGTTTGGTGAGTGAGTGAGTGAGTGGGTGGAGTGAGTGAGTGGGTGAGTGAGAGTGAGTGAGTGAGTGAGTGAGTGAGTGAGGGAGTGAGTGAGTGAGTGAGTGAGAGTGAGTGAGTGAGTGGCTTTTGAGGAGTGTTATAACCCATCTTTTAATAGCATTCTCCATTGGAGCTAAAAACAGTAATTTTTGCCAAACATTCAACAGCAGTTTGTATGCTATTTCATGAGTGAGTAATTGTTTGGGTGGAGAGAGTGAGTGAGTGAGAGGAGTGAGTGAGTTGATGAGTGAGTGAGTGAGTGAGTGAGTGAGTGAGTGAGCCTGAGTGAGTGAGATATAACCCATCTTTTAATAGCATTTCCAGTATCAAGCATGTCAGCTTATTGTGGGTGGAGAGACCAAAGTGATTGATAAAGGCCTCAGATAGGTAAAACCCATGAGCACTGATATGGTGCTATCTGCCAAAACATAACCAAGGTGAGCCAGGATTTGAACCCATGGTCACAGACTTCTGAAGTTATGTAAATACTCAATAAATGTGATCTTACATGCTTTAACATACACAAAATGTCAAGCAATATCGTACCCGTGACGATCTGGATAGATGAACTTGATTAAACAATATTCTACCTTTCATGAACTTGACATTGAGAGATCAAAGGTAAATCATAAACACTAACATTTAAACTATATTATATTTCTAAAATTAATGGAAAATGGCAAGCCCAAAATGGAGTTGAGTGATTGATTTGGTACACGCTATTTAAGTAACAATATTCCAGCAACCCAATTGAGATCAAGGGGGACACTAGAAAAGACTTCACACATTGTACCCATGTCTTCGACGTGACGAGGGAACGCTCAAACCACTAGGCTACCCACGGCCCCCCAAGGGATAGAAGTTGGCTCAATGAAAGCGATGCCTTTGACAATAGGGCCAGCCACCCTAGCCCCTTTAGAGCCCAATCTCACAGAAGTAGGAAAACAGAGATACTAACAACCATAATAGACATCTTCACAGATCCTTCGTAACATTAATGTAGCACATAACATTCAAGAAGAAGTCACTCACAGATGAAACAGCCACTTCACAGCCTCTTCACAACCTCTCACCAGTGGCATAAAGAACTTGCACCTACTCACATGAACCTATCACACAGCATGGAAATGATGAAAACATTAAATGAAATCACTGTGTGATTATCACAGACACTTGAGTGATTCACAATGAAGAGACACACGACATGAGCTCCCTGATCAAAGACTTAATGCTTGAGTGAACAATGTAACGCAACAAGGCTGGCTGCTGGGATATTGTCTGTTCTGCCCGTGTAATACAGCCCAGGGCAAACTGGTGTTGATCTCTCTGCTGGAGGAATGCACAATATCCAGATAGGAATACAGGAAATGGCCACGACGTGGGAGTTAGAGAACAATCTATATAACAAGGAGTATTTACACAGTGTGATATTAATTTAGCAAGCTGCAAGTGGTGTAAATAATTAATATAGGACGAACTGATAATCCATAATTTTGAGGTTTAAAGAAGCAGGTTAAATTATT